ACTGAGGCTGAACTCTCCCGATTGGTGGGTTAGTAAGCAGAGCCTCACCTAACCCACTATATGTGACCAACCCCAGACCACACTTTACATGCCAACCAGGCATCCATCAGGCAACCAGGACACTTTGTTACCTGCTCTGCCCCTTATGTAACTCCCCTCACTTGCTACCTCTTTGAGAACAAAAATCAAATTAATACCACCATTTTGACTAGAAAGGGAATGACCATGGACTACCCTTTTCTTTAATCACCGTCTCTGTGTCTCCCCAGACCAAAACTACTTTCTCTGGCCACCACTCCCAAACTGGGGGTCTTCTTCTAGGAGAAAGTTAGTGCCTTGAGGGCAGGGACCCACTGAACTTTTGTATCTTTATGTGCCTAGCACATACTAGGTGTTTATTAAATGCTTTTTCATTTATTCACGCCCAGGTAATTGCCAAGTATTACTCATTTGACCTCTACAATCTCCTTTATTCTTCTCTTTCTTTCCTTTCTCCACTACTACCACCCTTGCCTAGGCCCTTTTTACTACACACTTGCATTATTGCAATAGTGTCCTAACTGGCTTCCCCACCTCCAGTCGCTTGTACTTCTGACACAGCCTATGCATACACCAGGTAACTCCGGTCCTTCAGGGATCCCTGATTTAATTGGTAAGGCATTGGTAGTTGGTCTTTGCGGGCTGTGTGGGGTGAGCCTCTCTGGGCTTAGTTGGGCTGATCCTCAGGTCTCAGTCATATTATCCATGGCTGGGGCCATACTGCAAGCCCTTCCTGCTTGGTAAGACCTGCTGTCGCACCAGCATAGGCTCGAGGGCTCAGGGTTCTCTGACTGATTAATCTTTCTAAAACACTTTCAGTACAGACAAGAAAGTTTGGAAATCTCCACTGACTCATCACCTGTAGGATAAAGCCCAAACTCCTTAGCCTAGCTTTCAAGGCCCTCTATATAGTGTGACTCAAAAACCCCAACATTTTATTGATGCTTTAATTTTTTATAAACATTGCTGTCACTTTCCAAGGATTTGTTCTTGATGGGTAAAATAAAACCTTCCCTTGAAACAAAGATATAATTGCTGAGAAAAACCAATCAACTCAGCAGCCACACTTGACTTCATTCTGCAGCTATCATCTACCATTTCTCTTCAGAGGAAAGAGGCAGACTTCATCACTGGTTCCCTGAAGTCATAATTACTGTATTGATCATTCACTGATTACAGTGTTGGTCAGAGTTCAGGTGTCGTTCAGGGCTGTTTTCCTTTACATTGTTGGGCCATTGTATCAATTATTCTTCTGGCTCTGCTCACTTTGCTTTGTATCAGTTCAAACAAGTTTTCCCAAGTTTCCCAAAAAAGGGAAATAACATAGAACTTATGGTCTACACCAGAGGTCTCAAACTCATCACCTACAGGCAATATTTCCAGAGTACAGCCAGAATCATATTAAAATGTCATTGGGAAATGTTTAACAAAAATAAATAAAAATATGATAAAACATAGATAATATTAATTTGTGGTTTTCTAAATTAATATGTAGCCCTCAGAGATCTATTTTCTACTTCAGTGTGACCCCACTGATTTGATACTTAACCATATATTGCCTTAAAATATTTTTTAACATTTCATGTGTATGTCTCACATCTCCCCAGCTCCAAAAGTCACACACGTCTTTGTTGCATGCCCCACAGAGCCTAATGCAGGGATAATGTTCCATAATTACTATGTTTGGATGAAACTTCCATTGATATGCATCACACTCTATATTTTCCAAAGCACTTCACATCAATATCTCACATGAACTTGGGCCAAATTTTGTTTCAAATCTAGCTTTGCCATTACTACTTGTATGACCTTGAGAAATAGAGTGGTACAGTAGATAGAACACTGGACTAGGAGACAGGCAGAACTGGCTTTGGACCCAGTCTCAGGCATTTGCTAAGTATATGACACTGGGCAAGTCTCAGCCTCAGTTTCCTCATCTATAAAATGAAGGTAATAATATCACCTGTCTTGCAGACTTGTGAATGATCAAATGAAATAATGTTTATGAAGCACTTTATAAAGGTCAGCTGTTATTAATATCTCTGGGTCTCAGTTTTCTCATCTAAAAAATGAGGGATTTGGAATAGATGTTCTCTGAGGTCCTTCCACTTCTAACATTGTGTCACTCTGTGGACTTGAAGCCTGGCTCTGATGCTTGTTAGAGATGATCTAGTGCAAGTTACCCAACCGCCCTAAATCTCAGTTTCCTCATCTGTAAAAGAGGAGGGCTGGAGTACATGGTGCCTTCAAATTCTAAATCAATGATGTTGTGTCCCCACGACACAAGTTGGGCAGATTTGACAGATGAAAGTGATGAGGCTCCGAGAGAGTGATCATCAGTGGGCTTCCCCTTCTCCTCCTGTCTCACATCACTCAGGTGTTTTCCCTGTCCCATCTCCATTTTTATGTCTATTTCACATAAAGAGGTAGCCCTTCTCCTTGCCAAGCCTAACATCTCCACGTGAGCATGTGATCCCATTCCATCTCGTCTTCTCCAGATTTCCTTCTCCATCATCTTCATTCTGTCACTTATCTTCAATTTCTCCCTGTCTATTGGCTGCCTCTCTATTGCTTAAGTACATGCCCTTGTCTCCTCCATCTTCAAAAAACCCTCACTCCATCCTTCTTCCCCCCCCCTCTGCTAACCATCATTGCATTGCTCTTCTCCCTTTTATAGCTAAACTTGAGGTCTGTCTACAATGAGTATCTCCACATCCTTTCCTCTCACTCTCTCTGACTTCATCCCTCAACTAAAACTTCTCTCTCCAAAGTTACCAATGATCTCCTAATCACCAAATCTAATGGCCTTTTCTCAGTTCTTATCCTTTCTGACCTCTGTGGCCTTTGACACTGTCGATTGCCCTCTTCTCTTCTCTCTGGGTTTTTATGACCCTGTTCTCTTCTGCCTCTCCTCCTGCCTGTCTGACTTACTCATTTTCCTTTTCTGGATCTTCATCCACATCACACCCATTAACTATGGGTGTCCCCCCCCCAAACTGTGTCCTGGGCCCTCTTCTTTTTTCCCTCTATACTCTTTTACCCGGTGATCTCATCAGCTCACATGGTTTCAACTATCATCTCCAAGAAGATCATTCTCAGGCTTAATTTGTCCATCCCTAACTTCTCTCTTGACCTCCAGTCTAGCATCTCCAGCTCTCCGACTGCATATTGGACACTTTGAACTGGAAAACGCCTAGAAATCTTCAATGCAACATGTTCAAAACTGAACTCATTAACTTTCTCCCCAAATCCTTTCCTCTTAGTAACTTCCCTATTCCTCTCTAGGGCACCACCACCGTCCCAGTCACCCAGGCTGGCAACCTAGGTATCATTCTTGACTTTTCACTGTCTTCCACCCCTCAAAGCCAATCAGTTGCAAAGGCCTATTGTTTCTAGCTTTATAATAGCTCTCCTAGGCTCCCCTTCTCTCCTCTGACACAGCCAACACCCGAGTCCATCCCCTCATTGCTTCATATTAATTAATATTACTCCAATAGTATGTATACTGGTTAGTCTTCTTGCCTTAAGTCTCTCCCTGCTGAGTTGTCAAAATGATCTTCCTAAAGCATAAGTTTCACCATATTACTCCCCAATTCAATCAACAACAGGGACTTCCTATCACCTCCAAGTTCAAATATAAACTCCTCTGACTTCTAAAGCCCTCCATAAATTAGCCTCTTGCTACTTTCCCAGTCTTTTTATTTCTACACTCCCTCCCCACATACTGCAGTATTCTTCCATCCAATGATACTGGCTTCCTTTCTATTCTTTGTACTAGGCACTTCATCTCTCAACTCCCAGCCTGGAAATCTCTCCTTCCTCATTTTTGCCTCCTGGCTTTAATGGCTTCCTTCAAGTCTCCTCTAAAATCCCACTTTTTTTGGGGGGGGGCTAGGCAATAGGGTTAAGTGACTTGCCCAGGGTCACACAGCTAGTGTTATGTGTCTGAGGCCAGATTTGAACTCAGGTCCTCTTGAATCCAGGGCCAGTGCTCTATCCACTGTACCACCTAGCTGCCCCAAATCCCACCTTTTACAAGAAGCCTTTTCTGATCCCCCTCAATGCTGGTGCCTTTTCTTTCTTGATTATCTCCAATTTATCTTGTACGTGAGTTATATTGGCTCACCCATTAGACTGTGAGCTCCTCGAGAACAAGGACTATCTTTTACCTTTCTTTGTATCCTTGGTACTTAGCACAGAGCCTGGCACATGATAGATGCTTAATAACTACTTGTCGACTGACCTGCCCAAGGTCATTCAGATAATAAGAGGGAAGAGGCAAAATTAGAGCCTGCAAAAATCTTCTGTCTCTCTAATTTTTTTTTTACTAGACTAAGTTACTAATCCTGATATCTGATCAAACCCTACCCCTTCCATCCTCAGTACCCTCAGCCTATGCTAAAGAAGAGGGAAAATGGAAACAGAGTCCCCCATCTTGGAGCTCCCAGCCCGATGATGAGAGAGCAGGTCCACTCAGATCCCAAGCACACAGCTGTGAGTCACAGCAGCATGGCATAAAAGGAAGAACCAATGAAGAAACCCAGGGCAGGGCCTACCAGGAACCAAGGAAAGGCTGTAACACTAGCAAAGAGAGCCCAGGAACCCCGGCTGCCTGGCCAGGGAACACAATGTCACAGTTTGGAGGCCTGGAGGACAAGCCTCAAGTTGTCAAGGGAAGTCTTCCCAAGGAATAGCTGCCCTTTCTCCTTCCCCCATGCCAACCCTCGCTCCTGCTCTGCCCCGTAGGATTTCTTCAGTCCCATGGCCTGCCAGTCATTCAAGGAGCCTTACCTGGGGGCTGAGATTGGCTCAGCGTTACACCTCCCAACTCTCACCTTCCACCTCCCTGAGCACGCCTGGCTCAGGTTCTCACAGACCTCCGGAGCTGGGCTGGCCAGGGGCCAGACTAGACATTTTGGATTTACCTGTCCTGACCCACCCCACCCTTCTCCTCTTCTCACCTGCCACTTCCCGTGTTCCTCCCACCTGAGGCTGGGGAAGGAAAGGAAGAAGGGAGGGGCTTTGGACCCAGCCTCTCCCAGCTGCCTCCACCTCTGGCTCAGAGCCTCAGGTCTCTACACCCTGTCCGGGCAGCTGCTCTCAATCCTTCTGTTCTCCTGTAATTAAAGGCCCCAGGGAGAGAGCAGTGATGGATGGATACATCTCCTGTGTCGGGGGCAAAGCTGCCTGCCTGCCTACCTGGGCTGTTGCCCCAGGCCTGGAGACTCCTTCCTCTTCCCACCACCCCACCTGGTCTTAGGCCCAGAGCCATCCTCTCACTCTTCGTCCATTCTCAGTTGAGGCCCTGGTCCCAGGTGCCTGAAGGTTCCATTTGGAGAGTCATAGAATCACAGAATTTCAGAACTTCTAAGTCTATAATTTATTGGTGGAAAGGAGTTTCCACACCTATGAAATCACAGAAATCACCTAAAATCATGGAATCTCAGGTCTTTGACAACTGACAGATCTGCAAGGCTGTGCTAGGTGCTAGATCTACATGGACACAAATTAATCAGTCTCTGTTTTTAAAGTGCTTACCTGCTACTGGTATGGAGGTCCTGGGTGGGGCCTCCCAGTACCATTTATTAACTAACTATAGAGCCCAGGAGGAGCCTTGAATGCAGCCTCCATAAAATAGGCTGGAGTTGTTCCACCCACAGCTGGCCAGTTCCAAAGATGCAGACCCTTCCTGGGCCAAGACTCCAGTTCCGAGAAACTTATGGAAGCAAGACTTCCCTGAAGCTCCACCAAAAGCTGGTGATCACAGATTGCTCTGGGAAACAATCCTTCATCTCAAATGAAACCAAGCCAAGACTTGCAGCTGACAAATTGGACCCCAAATCTTTTGGCAAATCTTCTATACTGAGATCTGAGGAAGTCAAGTAACCGTCCCCAATAAATCACAGCCTCCTAAAGGATCTAGAACTAGAAGGGCTTTGGGGGCTTATCTATTCTGCTTTGTTCTTTTTACAGATGAAAAAACTGACACCTAAGGAAGTTAAGTGACCCAGATAATAAGTATTAGATTTGAACCCAGGTCCTCGGAATCCAGAGCCCAGTGCCCTTTCCACTGAACCACAGACTTGGCTAAAATAATCCCAGAAAGACTTCTCTCACCACAGATGTCATTAGGTATTGTTTTAAAGTCTGCCTTTACAACAATCTGGTTTTTTTCTTAGAATTTTCTCAAAATGGACAAAATAGGTCTGAGCCATATGGGTTTGCCCAATATCCACTGAGGGAGAGGTTAAAACAGATATGGTGGGGTTTGAGGCCTGAGTGGAGAGTAGGCTGGACATTCCTCCCATTCCATTCCTGGCAAGAATATGGAGGGAATGCCATGATTATACGCCCCTCATTTCTTAGCTTCTACACCTAAGTGATTTGAGGATCAGTGGTCTCCCCCCCCCCACCTTGCCTCGATGACCTACCAACTTCCTTTGTCTCAAAATCCCAAAGGTCCTGAGCTGTCTTTATAGACTCCTTAGGCCACAAAAGGACTTTGAAGCCCCTGCCTTCAGAGGTATCCCTAACCCTCCCCAAGAAGTGGGCATTGGGCAGATGTTATGGCTATCTTCTGCATCTCAGGGTAGTGACCAGAACTGCTATGAGACTACACATCCCCAGCTGGACACCAAAGAGCGGGTCAGACAGAACCAGCCTCCTCACCTCTGCTCCCCCCCTTCACCCCCCCAGATAGGGCCAAAGAGAATCATAGCCCCACTGTTGTCTTCCTTTGAGGTTAAATGCTTTCTTAAAAGCTTAACATTGAACATCAATGTAACCAAATAAAATTATTCCTCACTACTTACATTGGAATTAATTCTAACACATAAAGCATCAAATGAACTTTTCAGTCACTCATTAGAATTTTTTTTTTTTGGCCTATTCAATCTCATTTTTCTTCTTGTATGGTCTCAGTTAATGTACTCCATTTTCCTTCTTTGGCTTTTTTTCACTTTACATTATTTCATAAAAGTCTTTCCAGATTTCTTTGTGTATTTCTCACTTGACAGTCTTAATTACATTAAAATAGCCCATTATGTTACTATATCACAATTTTTTCAACCATTCCCCCATTAATAGGCATTTAGGTTGTTTTCATTTTTAAAAAATTACATACAATGCTGTGATGAAAATCTTTCAACAGGTAACTCTTTTTTGATAATTTTTTTTTGAAAAAATAAGACTGAGAGAATATTCCCAACAATGGAATTATTGGGTCAAAGGGTATGATTTTTGTAATGTTTATTCAATCACACAGTCCTTTTCTATAGTGAGGCCTAAAAGTACCCCAAGTCAGCTCTTCCAAGCTCTAGGCTCACAGACGTCTGAGCTTGAATGGATCTTATAGCAAGTCCAAACCCCTCTGCTGATTAAGTTAACTGAGCCCCACCGTGGAGAAGTCAATTGCTCAAGGACATCTAGCTAATGATTGATGGAGCTCGCATTCTAGCCCAGGTCTTCTGATCTCAAATCCATTGTTCTATGCCATGCTGCCCTGGATACCTCTGGCTCTCCTGAAGAAGCAGCTCTCAGAGAGGATTACATGGTTCATCCTACATGGTTCTCAAGAAATACCCTGCTGGCCATGAGAACTGGCTAGACTTCCAGGCACTTAGGGCTTATGTGGAAGATCCATGTTATTCTCTAAGGTAGCCTAACATGGTGGAGAAAGGTCTCACTATCTAAAATGGGAACTTTAAAGTCCCTTTTTAAAAGGAACTAAAATGCCTCTGCTGACTTACAGTGTAATTTATGATGGGCAAGGCAGCAAGAAAGAGTGGGAAGACTCCTGAGGCCTAAGTTTGAGCCTGTGGCCTCTGGTCAACCACTTCACCTTTTTTGGTCTCAGTTTTCCTCTTCATAAAATTAAGGGAGTAGATTAAATGACTTCTGGGGTCACTTCTAGCTATACCATTCTGTGTACCTCAGTTTCCCTATTCATCTCATAGGGAAATGAGTGACTGCTTTTTTTTTATCTCATGAGGACTGAGTTGGTATTCTTTGAGATGCTCACAAGAAAGAAATCAATAAAGTCAAAGCTTCTTTTAATCTTAATTTGCTACTCTCAGAGGAGAGTGCCCTGGGCTCCATAGTGAAGGAGATGCTATGGGGGAGAGGGGAAAGAACATAAGTTTTGCTCTGGGGCCGGTGTGTGTGTGTGTGTGTGTGTGTGTGTAGTAGAGGTAGGGGGAGAGTTCCCACATTGGAGGTCAATTCAAATCAACATGCATTTATTAAGCACTTACTATGAGCCAGGCACCATGCTAAATACTGGGGATACAAAGAAAGGCAAAAAACAGCCTCTGCTCTGAAGAAAATCACAATTTAATGGGGAGAGGCAAAATGGAAACAATTCTGTACAACATTGTTGTTGTTGTTTGGCCTTTTTTTTTTTTTGGATAGGCAATGGGGTTAAGTGATTTAGTAAGTGTTATGTATCTGAGGTCACATTTGAACTCAGGCCCTCCTGAATCCAGGGCCAGTGCTCCACCTAGCTGCCCCAGTTTGTCCTTCTTTCTCAAAGAGGACCAATGACATCACGAGGGTGATGACTTGAGCATGAATTGGATTCAGTGAGTGAGTCAGAGCTGTGCAAAGTCTTAAGTGCAGATAAGGGAAGGCACTAGGATTAAGGAGGACCAGAAATGTCCTCTTATAGAAGGTGGGGTTTGAACTGAAGCTTAAGGGAAGCCAGGAGACAAAAATGAGGAGGAAGAAAGTTATAAAGTGTGGGGGACAGCCAGTAAAAATGCACTGGGATAAGACAACCAGGTGGTACAGGATAGAGCACCGGGCTTAGAATCGGGAAGACTTATCCTTGTAAGTTCAAATCTGGCCCTAGATACTTGCTAGCTGTGTGACCCCAGGAAAGTCACTTCACCCTGTTTGCCTCAGTGTCCTCATCTGTAAAAGGAGCTGGAGAAGGAAATGGCAAACCATTCTAATGTTTTTGCCAAGAAAACCCCAAATGGGTCATGAAGAGTTGGGCATGACTGAACAACAACAAGGAGACGGAGTAAAGAGGAACTCTTAGGAACAATAAAGAGGCCAGTGTTATTGAGTCAAGGAGTCTGTTGAAAGGAGTAAGGCATAAGAAGACAGGTAAAACAGGAAGGGGCCAGATTATTATGGGCTTTAAAAGCCCATATATTTGATCCTCAAAGCAATAGAACGACTTGAAGCTGATCGAGTAGGGGAGTATACGGTCAGACCTGTGATTGAGGAAGATAGCTTTGACAGCTGAGTGGAGGGTTTCCTGGAGTAGGGAGAGGCTTCGGGCGCAGAGATCAATCAGAAGGATATTGCAGAAGTCTGAGAATGAGGTGATGAGGGATGTGGGAGAGGATGTCCAGTTGAGAAAAAGACCAGGACAATTCTGCTAGATTATAGTCTGTAAAGGGGAGCCCTGTGAAATTAGCTTGGGAAGGAATGTGGGGACCTAGTATTCTTCTAAGTAGACTGCGAGCTGCAGTGCTGTAGGAACTATGTCTGATATCTCCCGCCGGGAGACCTGAGCGAGGACCTTGCTCTGTGAATGTTTCTTGATTTAACCAATACTCAAAGAACTGCTGATTATCTCAAGAGGTACCTTGAAAAACTAAATGGAAAAACAAAACAATGCCCTTAAGAAGGAATGCATTAAGTTATTTTTTTTATTAAATCAAAATAACCAAAGCTGTGTGTGGTGGTGGTGGTGGAGTAGGGGGTGAGATGGAATGGGGAATAAATCCCTAGATATCTGCTTTGCCAAGCTGTCATTGGTGGCTCGGCTCCAATATGAAATAATAGGGGTATTCCACATCCTCACTGACAGTTGTTGGGTCCACTACCCAGACCTCCTAAACCGGTGACTCAGCTAGGGACCAAGACCACATCCTTCCCTCTTGGGCAGAGAGACGGAATGTGTGTTGTACAAGTTCTCTTTCTGGAAAGACACTTGCTGCTTCTGGACACCAGAGGGCAGTGTTTCCCCTTTGGTTTTTGTTGGTGCACGCGTTTGTGGTTGTGTGTGTTTTGTTTTGTATTTTTACCCTCAATATCACTTCCATCCATACAAGGATTAGAAGGAACTTCAGAGACTATCCACAGCCCCTCCCCACCATCACAGCCACCCCACCCCCACCCCCACCCATCGCACACTATTTTACAGAGCGGGGAAAGTACCTCAAACTCTCGCAGGCCCTAGGAAGCAAAGCTAGGATTTGAATCCGAGCTGATTGAGCTCACATCTTATGTCCTCTCTTTCCATCTTGCCCTCTCCAATTCTTCCAGCATAGAACTGCTAAAGCTATTTTCTTATAGCACAA